TTGTCGCTTCGGTCAAACACACAAAGCTGTTTTCGTAGGCAATCTGAACATAACCCGCTCGATGCACAAACCCGACCTGCAGTCATTATAAATCCGGCGTAAGTATACACCGTTATGAATCAATACTTGCATTCGCAGACTTAACACTGCCAGGGTCATTAATTCGATACCACTAATTATATGCACGTATCATTAAACCTTCAACTGTTCAGTCGAAAATCAAATTGGACTCGAGGCAGTCTTTCATAACCCCACAAACCCGCAGAGATATTACAGCCTACAAGCTTCTAATTGACTATCTAAATCCTCGTGCGTACATGGGGGCGCGCACCTCAACTCACACGAACGCTCCAGACGCTCTAAGCTGCCTCTAAGACCTGAGTCAAATTCTAATGCTCGCGACGCACGACGATTACAGAGGCATCCAGCGTCGAGTGAATGTGAAAGGGAATCAGAGTAGGATTCCGAGAGACGCTAATCAAATCACTTTGGGTTTGCGAATCAACAGTGTGTCCCGTGATGTGTGTGCTAATGAGACTTCAAACTTCAGTTTCATATGTGCTTTTTTTTTTTTAAACATATTTTTCAATCCACTTCATTTCTATAGCGCATTTTATAAACATGACAGTTTCCGAAGTGCTGCACAGACAAATTAAGACAATACATCTTTAAATTGCATTTTTTTTGTAAGGCAACCTCACTTTTTCATTGCTTAGTCATAACATAAACTCTTACCAGTTTGACCAGCTCATCAAAACAATGATATTTACTGTTTTTAATGAAGAAATACAATTAATATAATGCAGAATTGAGTTAAGCATTTTGGCCCGGCCCTTCATAATATTTTCTGTTTCTTCATGTGGCCCCATGGAAAAAATAATTGCCCACTCTTGCTCTAGATCATTGTTTCCCAAAGAGTGGATTGCAAGAGATTTTTTTTTTATTTTTTGGGTCACAATTTGCATGTAGGTCTGCAATGTACATATACATAAATCTCCGCGCACCCCCGCTTCTCTCTTCTCTTTTTTGGCAGCACCGCCTTGCCTAACCAGTTTTCTGTGGGAAACACTGGTTACTGTTTTTCCTTGTTCAAAACTTGAGTACTGTATTTTTCGGACTATAAGGCGCACTTAAAATCCCTTAAGTTTCTCAAAAATCTACAGTGCGCCTCGTAATCCAGTGCGCCTCATGTATTAATTCTGGTCTTGCTTATTGACCTCAGACCGATTTTCACACATATAATCCACTGAGTTGTGTTCTTTAGTCTGACAGAAGCAGAACCGCATCAGTGCACAACAAACAAGCTGTTTTTTCAGTGCTTATAGTTTATGCAAATTAGCCATGTGGTTTTACGTTTTGTTTCTGTAAAACGTAAACAAATGTGCTCAAAGCTGCATTAAACACATTATTACTCAGTCCTCCTTGCAAGAAATAAAAAAGTCTGAAGTGTAGTGTGTTTGTTTTACTTAATGCACCTTATAATCCGATATGCCTTATGTATGAAAATAGATGAGGGAATTCAACATTATTAATATTGCGCCTTATAATCCCAAAAATATGATAATACTAATTGTTCAGAGAGACACGATCATTCAGTCAACCATAAAACATCCTCATTAATGTTCAATAATGGTCAAAATTGTATTTTGTGATTTAAGAATAATGTCTATTGACTTGGGTCGCGATGATTTGTGACTTTCAAAATATGGGTCCCCAGAAAAAAAGTCACTGATATCGATAATACAGCTGATCGACTTTTGTGAGAGTGGAGCTTAAAGGTGCACAGCGTAACTTTTTGTGGTCCGTCACCTGCTTGTTTCTATGGATATGTCATTGCTCTGTCTCGAATGTTCCACAGTGTGATATTAAACATCTCCACCTTACATTTATTCAATTATAATGGTTTTATAGCTCAAAAATACCTCGAAAAACAGACATTCTGACTGTGATCTGACCTGTAACTTGGTCTAGTTTGGTCTCCATGAAGAAAGAAAGGTTTAAAGCCATACTGTGAAACATTTTAGACAAAGCAATAACACAATTACGGAATAAAACGGTAATTTTGAGACTGTACATACTGAACATTGTGAATATTGTTAAATTCATCGAAGAAGTGACACTTTCCATGCAAATACTTTGTCTTTTTTTTCCATTTATTTTTATTTCCTACTTCCCTTCCCCGAGAAAACAAAGTCGTTCTCCATGCCCATACCACTCGATGTACAGTATGTGGCCTAGTTACCAGTTAGCCCTATATAATGTCACCGTTCAATGTATTTTGATTTGGCTGACTCGGCCCTGGAGGAAAGACGGTGACGAGGGAGCGTACGTGCTGGACGGCTGCTTTAATTCGGCGTGAGTGGGTCGTTCTGAACCCGAGGCGCATACAGCCAAATTTAAAAGCACACAGACATCACTTTTCCTAATAGTGCTTTCTTAGCTGTGAGCAGTGTGGGAGGGTGATGGCCACAACTACCCAGGGGTGGAGTTTCTGGGTCAGTGGAAGAGACTATAAATAGTATAGCATGTACTTTTTCATGTGCTGCTGCCGCTACTGTATGTGCGGCGTACGTTTGAGATCCCGCTAATGGCCGTGGATTATACGAGTGACGGGATAATCCTAATTTATAAAAAGAACATTGTGATATTTTCTCTGAAGGTTGAATACGGAATGAAAGATTCAAAGTGCGTTCATTGTGTAGCTTTTCTGGCGGAGATGATTTTCTCCATGAAGATGTTATGTGTTTTGTCTTTGGAATGTTTCGCAGTATGGCATTAAACCTTTCGATCTTCACGGAGACCAAACCAGACCAAGTTATAAGTTAGATCTGTGGAGCAGCAACCCCGCTCACAGTTAGAATACTTGTATTTCTTGGTGTTTTTGAGATATAAAACCCCCTGAAATTGCATAAATGTAAAGTAGAGCTGTTTAATGTCACACTGTGGAACATTCTGGGCATGTCCATAGAAACAAGCAGGTGATGGACCTTCAACCAAAAAGCTACTTATTGCACCTTAAATATGTAATATCTAGAAGGGTCTTAAAAATGTCTTAAATTTCATGTTCCAACATTAAGGCCTTAAAAAGCATTAAATTATGTTGTCCAAATCTTATTTTTTTCACAAAGGTCTGAAATTTCAACTGGGCTGCAGTGCAATCTTAAACGGAGGAAGGAAAAAAAAACAACAACAATGTGAAATCACGTAACATGAATGAATGTTTTGGAGTCTGCGCAAACAGTACTTAGTTGGTCTTGTTAGAATGTTAGAAATGATTTTTTGGCCATTTACAAGCAATGCATACGACTATAAATGAGTTCTGAATGAGATTTTATAATGAAATATTTTTTGTTATTTAAGGCAGTGAGTAATGGTCATTATTAGAATTGGATCTGGTGTTTTTCGCTCGCATAATGGGTGCGATGTTGGTCTTAATTTTCATTTCAGTGGTTGTAAAAGGTCTTTAAAATGTCTTAAATTTGGGGTAGTCAAACCTGGGGGATACCCTGGAACAACACTGAAACAATATAAACTTTTTAATGAAATGTCCCACCACCTACTTTTCTCCATGGAGATGCCTGAATCCTCCACAGTATGGCTTTACACGTACTCTATCTGTCATGTGTTTATTCAGTTATAGGTGTTTATTTTCTCTGAAGGACAAATATAAAATGTGCCACTTGACAAATATGGAAAATACCAGATTAATGTATCTAGAAAAAAAAAACATCAACAAAAACAATTCAGGGCATTTAAAAGTGTGACTTTTTTTGGTGAAATGTCCATCACCTGCTTGTCTCCATGGAGATGCTATTGCTTTGCCTGGAATATTCCACAGTATGGCATTAAACTCTAACATGCATTTATTTGATTTCAGGTGTTTTTATTGCTCCAAAATTAAACAAAAATGGCATTATTATTATTATTATTATTATTATTAGTAGTAGTAGTAGTAGTAGTAGTAGTATATTTATTTATTTATTATTATTATACCAACATGCAAAGACAATAGGAAAAAAGTAGGACATACATGTATACAATTGTGACAAAGAAAATAATGATTCATTACAATTACATTACACGTACATATACATATATACACATTCATACCTGTAACACACATGCATATACACATTACATATACGTAAACATGTGTGTGCATACAGACATACACACACAAACATATATATACATACTCACATCACATACATACTCACACACCTCTTTTTACATATATAAACATTACTACATTTCATGTCCATACACACGTACACATACATGTGTGTACATACACATACATACATGCACATACATAGATGAATATAAACTTAAATGTACAAACGTTATGGCCCTGTCAGTGTATGCCGACGGACCAGAATTTACCTAAAACGCTGCATACGCTAAACTATCAATGTTTTTTTAATAACTTATACAAAACTTACCTATAACTTATCTGACATATGCCAGCGTATTTGCCAAATTTTTCATGCGTTGGTATACGCTGGCTCAATCGTTAAGGTGTGACAGCCCTTTTATGGTAACATACCTATCAAAAGATTTCTGAATTTCTCCCACCAATTATGAAAAGCGGGATTCTTACTGTGAGCGGACTTGCCTTTCCAGAGATCTGACCTAAAACTACGCCATCTGGTGGTATTGATGGTCATAATTTATATAGACATGTTTACAAGTAATATATGGGTTTGACTTTCTGAACTGAGAGACAAAATATTGAACTTTTTTCATCATATTTAAATTTTTTGAGATGGAATAGTAATAGTTCTAGGCACCGCAATAACATCTCCATGGTACCACACCCTCGACCCGAAAAAGCTGTATAGTGCATCTTTAATTTGAAATTGCATATAACACTGGTGGTACTGTCCAGTGTCTTTTCACTACGCCGTGATTGAAAACAGCTTCAACAATGTAAAATCTAAAATTAAATGACTGAACCGATTGCCACCTGCTCATTCTTTGTGTTAATTCTTTGATTGCAGGACCAAGTACCACCTGTACGGAGGAGTCCTGCTACCATCAGGGGGTGTGTCTCCAACAGTGGGAGGGCTTCACCTGCGACTGCACCATGACGTCCTACGGGGGATCCTTCTGCAACGACCGTAAGTGCTCGCGTCTCTATATCTCTATACGGCTGAAGGCGGTGAGTGAGTGGCGTTTCGAAAGGGCTTTTGGTTTGTTAGGTGAAGGTATTGCTTGGCGCTAAATGTGCTGGAAGTCAGAAGTCAGGACTTGTTTGGGAGAGACTAGCCTGGAGATGCGTAGCAAAGGTTGGGTTAGTGCAGCAACGTTGCAATGGCTCAAAATGGTACAAAACATCCAACTATTATGCTTTGGTAACCTCCTGGCTTTTTGTTGCTTCTGTCTGCTTCGCTGTTCAAATGGATAGAAACACTGAAATGCTTCTTTTGTCTCCTAATTGGACAAAAAGCAAAAGAAAGCTAATGCAACATGATTTTAATTGGTATAAAAGTTACACAATCCTTCACTGGACTCACCTTAAAGGTCCTACATTATGCACAATTGATTCACCTTGTTAGAATGTTGTTTCCTTCTCAAAAACAGACCAGGAGTTGTGTTTTGTTTCATTCACACATTTGAGTAACTTTATTAATATTCTGTCTACATCTCCAAAACTCAAAATGCTCTGTTCCACCTTGTGATGCATGTACGCTGCAAAAAAAATCTCACCACATTAAGATGACTTGAATTAAGAAAGTTTTATCATGATTTGAGTAGATTTCTCGATTTCAAGTAAAATTATTTGCCAGTGGAATAAGACTTTTTGAACTTAAATATGAAAATACATCGTGCTGCACTTAAAATAAGAAAAACAACAACTCTTTGCTCTTAAAATAAGAAACAAAAATTTTACGTTGGTTGAATTCATTCCAATTCTCTTCTTAATTACGTCAGACATGTCAAATTTGGCCTGTGATAAAATAATATGTATTAGAGCTGTCCCTCCGGCTACAGATAGACTATAGAGACATTATTTATTTAAAAAAATTTGGTTATTATTTTATATTATTCTTGTTCTGGATTCAGTGTTTAAGTTAAACTATTATTAAACATTTATTTTAAGAAGAAAAGATGAAGTTTAAACATTACATGTCTCAAAAGAAAAGAAAACACACAGATGCTGTTGACATTTTTCAATAAATATTTAGTTTGGCCGACGACTTAGTCCCAGTTTTTAATTTTGGCTTTCTGTGAATTTGAGTTTGACACCTCTGATTTAAGTCATATTAATTTAGGTAGATGTAGTTTTTTTCCAGTGTAGCTGTAGATTTCAACTTAACTGCAACACAGCAAAAAAGCTTGGCCAAAATTTAAGATATAAACACTTAAATCGATCAGAAAATGATTTAAAAGTAGTGAAATTATCTGTCCATGCAGCAAGATAATTTTATTTTTTAACAAATAGACTAGATTTAAACAGTTTTAGAACTAGTAAGTAGAAAATAAACCAGAAAACAAGATAAATAACCTGATATAAAATTTTCAATCTTGTCCAGATCAGAGAAATTTGCAGTGTACATTTTGACCTCGTATTCCTAAAAATATCTAGATGATTCTGGTGAAGATGAATGGGAGTTTAAAAACGCAGTGGAGCACGTTCTTACCACGTGACATCGCAAGGTCGAACAGAGTGTTTTCAATATGAGAGATGAACTAACAGTGTTGGGAAGGTTACTTTTAAAATGTATTCCCCTACAGATTACAGATTACACACCCCAAAATGTAGTTTGTAACGTAATCCATTAAATTACTTAAAGTGAGTAACGTAATCTGAATACTTTGGATTACTTGATTTGCTGTAGAGAAGCAAAGACGAGGAAATCTTCACATAAAATGTTTTGTCTGCTAAAAGAAAATAAAAACCCCAGACTTTATGTAACCGTATTAAAAATATTATTAGGGTTAGGGTTTTTTCCTCTTCTATTATTGATAGAAGAGGAAAAAATACGTCAGCGCAGCATGGTTTAGTCCTGTTAAATCCTGTTTTAGTCCTGTTTTAGTCCTGTTTTAGCCCTGTTTTAGCCCTGGTTTAATCCTGGTTTTAGTTCTGGCTTAGACCTGGTTTTAGTCCTGGTTTAAACCTGGTTTTAATCCTGGTTTTAGACCTGGTTTAGACCTGGTTTAGATCTAGTTTAGGCCTGGTTTTAGTCCTGTTTTAGTCCTGGTTTTAGTCCTGGTTTTAGTCCTGGTTTTAGACCTGGTTGAGACCTGGTTTAGTTTCCGAGAATGAGTGGTATTACTGGGAAAAAAAAGAAAAAAAAAAAGGGATCTAGCCCAAAATGTGAAAATAGAAAAATACCGCAATGTAATCCATTTATTTTAACAAAGTAACTCTAATCCAATTACCACTCATTGAAACAGTAACTGTAACCAAATACAGTTACTCATAATTTGTACTCTGATTACGTAACTCCGGTACATGTAATCTGTTACTCCCCAACACTGGGAACTAAATACGCAGAATTTGTGTGTTAAACATGTGTCAGTGCAACGAAACACAACCCCAGGCGTGTTTTTCGACGAGGAAACGTTATAACATAGATCAGAAAATGGCGTAATATGGGCCCTTTTAACAGTTTCAAAGTTCTGGGCGACCGTGTCATCTTAAACCGCCGTTAGCCTCTTAGTAAACTCACGTTGGCAAGGCTTAACCATCACAACCGCGCTCCCCTCCTCCGACATTTAGTCAAAGCAACACCTTGGATTGTAGAACCAACACTGCATCACGGGATTCAAGGCTACGGGCCCCCGCGGCTGCGCTGACACCCGCTGGGAATGAAGGAGCGCGCGATTTAAGGCCCGTGTCGTCGCCGCGCGGTCACCTGCTGAGTGGCTGGCATCAAAGGGAAGCGCAAAAGAGTGAACGGTGCAAGGAGTTTATTTTAAAAACGGAGATATGAGGCTTTATGGCTATCACGGCAAACAGGAAGCTAATGCCGCGGTGTGTTTTGGAGTTTTAGAATATGTTTGCATATATTTTGTTGAGGACTTAAGTTGTAGGAATCGGTAATTAGTGTTTTTATACGTGAGGGGTCTGTTTACCTGTTTAAATTTTGATATTTTATTCTCTCTGATTTAGCGCAGGGTCGCCACGAGGTCTTAAAAGTCTTTGAAAAAGGTCTTAAATTTAGTGTTCCTATATTAAGGCCTTAAATTATGTTGTCCAATAGGGCTGGGTATCATTCAGAAGTTGCGATACGATACATAGGCCACGATACGATACATATCTCAATACAGTGAGCTTACCAATCGATACAATTCAGTACGATATATTTCAAATCAATTCGATACGGTCCAATAAAAAATAATGTCTAAATCATGGCTGTGATACTGAAAGTCTTTGTCGAACCACTTCTTGGGCAAAGTTCATATGAAACACAAACATTTTAATCATCAAAACAGTGAAAATGTCAAGTGTGTTGCATAAATAAGTTTCCTTCCCCTGAACAAGAAACAAAACTAGCTCTGAAACAAAATAATTTAGTAAAATACAGCAAAAAATACTCTTGGCGATATATCAATACAGCAGCTCACGATATCGATACTGGATCATCACATTAAACGATACAATATATCGATATTTCAATATTTTATTCACAAAGGTCTTAAATTTTCTATTTCTATTTTTTTGTTTACTCAATCGGGCTGCAGTGCGATGTGAAATGGAAGGAGGGAAAAAAACAACAACATGAAATAACGTAACGTGAATAACGTCTAATTTGGAGTATGTGCAAACAGTATTTTGTTTTTTGGTGCCGGCGGTAATGATTAAACAATCAATTCCGTTTACGCTGCCAAAACACAAAACTCTGGTCAGATGCGCTTAGGTTGCATATGCATTTACGCCACATACATCACCAACGAGCATCAGCACCGAGCCGCCTGACGTGCATACCCAATCCAATTCCACACACTTTTGCGTCACTGTATGCATGCAGATTTCCTCCCGAAAACACTTGTCTAAACGTGGAATGAAAAGTGAAGACGTGATGCCACTTTTGCATCTTCAGTTCAGACCGTCATCATATAAACATATCCTTAGATTCTAGATATAGAATTAGACCTGGTGTTTTTCGCCCACATAATAGGCGTGACTTTGGTCTTAATTTTCATTTAAGTGGTCTTAAAAAGGTCTTTAAAAGTCTTAAATTTGGGGTAGTCAAACCTGGGCATACCCTGTAGTGGTTTATTGCTAGAAGGACTTACTTGAAAAATCATTCCAATTTTGTGAACAACATGTTGTCGTCTTTTATAGCGACGCATTTACTTTCGCATCTTAGAAGGTCATTGTTGAAGCAGCGATAAATGGCAAGACAAGCAGCAGAACGTCCGGGGCATATAAACCAGAGAGAATAAAATATCAAAATTAAAATGGGCATCAGGACTGTTTTTTGATTGGTGTTATTTGAAATAAACTTTGAGGTTGAAATCAGCTTTTTTGTTGGACGCTAAAACAGAAAAAATATTTAGAGGCATACATTAACATCTGTTTAGGTAAAATACAGAAAAGCTCATAAAAATTTTAATCTACGATGGTGGACTTTTGCACTATATATGGACTGAACCATTGCCCGGTCGTGCTTTGCGGACACCTTGCTCTGTGGACTCAGGGTTCTCTCTCTCTTGCTCTCAAATCTAAGATTAGTCCTGGTTTAGACCTGATTTAGTCCCGATTTAGTCCTGGTTTACTCCTGGTGTAGATCTGGTTTAGTCCTGGTTCAGTCTTGGTTTAGTCCTGGTGTAGACCTGGTTTAGTCCTAATTTAGTCCTTGTATAGTCCTGGTTTAGTCCTGGTATGGTCCTGGTTTAATCCTGGTGTAGACCTGTTTATTCCTTATTTAGTCCCGGTTTAGTTCTTCTGATTCAGTCCTGGTTCAGTCTTGCTTCAGTCCTGGTTCAGTCCGGCATCACAGTTTCAGTCATGGAAACAGGAAACAGTTGTTATCTGTTTTTTCCATTATTCATTTAAACACAAAATCGAAAACTGAAAAATCTAATTGTTATGTGTTTGTTCATTTTGGTTTTGGAGACAAATAATGAACAAAATAGTTGATTTTTCGTTTTCTTGTTTTTGGTTTTA